CATAAATACTAGAAATTTTCACGTTTCGTCAATTTTTGGTGATATCTTTCTACTTTTGCTCATTTTTATTTTTACAATATGAATAACTAATTCTTATATTAGAGAAAACAATGTAGTCGACTTGTGATCCTTTATTATTTTATTCAAACTTTTATTTATTTTTAGTTGTTTTAATGAGAACTTGTTTGTATTTTTCTAAACTTTTTGGGGTTATGAACGCAATTAATATTTTATTTCTTTTCTTTTCTTTTTAAATCAAAGGAAAAGGTAAATTTTTCATTTTACAAGAAAAATTGATCAAAAGGTTGTATTTTGCAGCGTTTGGGTTATTTAGGGGAATTTTGTGCTAAAATGAAATGTTGGAGAGGTATTCCATAAACACATATTAACGTTATGAGAGTATTATGCCAATTACCCTATTTATTTTTAGAATCAGGAATGAAAAACGATTCAAGAAAAACGATACCATTAGTTGAATTTTAATCTTCCCTTAATCGATGCAAAGTATTTTAGTTCATGCCTTCTTTTTAAAAAATTAAGAGTCCATTTAATTTGTGTTTTAGTTTTGAGTTCATTTTCAATTTTCAGTTTTGAGTGTGTATATTAAAATCGTTAAAAATGTGTTTGATTTATCATTTTGAAAAATTATTTCTTATAATGGAAAAGTAGAAAACGCATTTGATTTACAAATTTTTTACAATATTTAAAATTGTTTATAAATAAATAAATAATTAAATATACAACATTTACATATTTTTTAACAATAGTTACAATTATTTTACAAATAAATATACAAAATTCATGGATAACAATTGAATTCATACAAATTGCATGCTAACTTATTTCTTCAATTTCATATTATGGATTGGTTGATTTCATCAACCTTATGTGCTATACTCAAAAATTCGATATGCTTTATTGTGAATATGCCACAATCGCCCTGTAAATAAATAATAATGTGTTAGTTTGGTACGATATAGCTAAAAAATAAGTTTTTAAATGAAAAAAAATTATAACTATTTATGATTTCGATTGTCTTTCCGTCGTTGTGTCTTGCACCATGGCTAGTCTGTCTAGTACAATCACCCCACTTGTCTAGCTATCAAAGGAATGATCACAGCCACTTGTTCTAGGTGAAACTCGAGCTGACCTACTGTTGGTAGAAATGATCGGATTCGTACACATATATAGTGGAATCAGTAGAGACGATCTCCACGGTAAAGCAATGATGATTCGCGATCACTGGAATGTACATATGCATACAACCCTCCCATGACTTTCCCTCGACATCGGCCACATCCCCATGACCCACTCGAGCTTATATTTGGGTACCGTGTACTCGTTACCCATAAGTTAGAGCCATTGATATACAATGGTAATGGCACGTAGGAACTCAATGCTCAATATGACTCGGCCAGGAATGTCGAATGATCTTAAATATCTTAGAGCTCGATCGCTCGAGAAGTCCATAACCCAATTGAAGTGTTGCATCAAGAAAGGCCAATAAAAAATAGAGGGAGTTATTTCATTTAATAAACAAAAAATTACGTATACATAATAAACAACAATTGCGATATTACACTTATATCGTCGGCTAGCCAAGCACCCGAAGTCGTGATGTCATGAAACCACTTATAGGTGTCTATGATTGTCCTTTCAGCTATCATATGGCTAGCTCTAAAAAAAAGAAACAAAAAAACTATGAAAGATGTATAGATGAATTAGCGTTACGTACTTCGCTAAAATCATAAAATACTTACCTAAGCATAATTTTTCGCCACTCTATCTTAAATGGCTTCCACTTAGCATGGTCCACATCCCGGAAGAGATTGGGGTACGTCTCATCTACGAACATCCTCATTTTCGCCTCAGTCGTGAAGGGAGAAAGGACATACTATGACGGCAAGCTCAACCTCTTGCCGACCACCTTCTCCGATACATTAACAACACGCTTTTTATCCTCTGTCACAACTGGCGTCCTCTACTCGTCCACCACCCTCCCTTCGCCTTGGGGCTTGCCATCTCCTCCATCATCTAGGCCACCCACTTCGTCCTAGACACATCCTTTGCCTCGAGGATCTCCACCATCTCAGCCTCGGGCACCATCACCTCCTCAGTCATCTAGCCACTCTTCCGCCTCGGGTACTGTCATTTCCTTAGTCATCGGGGCCACCCCCTCCCGCTTCACAGATTACAAAAATGATTCCAATACATCATCATTTGTCACCAACGGTGTGTGACCCCGATCTCTATCACCTTTTCCATTACCTTCTTTGTGACCCCGTCTATCACCCCCTCGTATGCCTACTATATCGCCTCAGAGCACTACGACCTCGTTCTGAAGTTTTGTTATATGGCATCGTAGCATTGCAATATCATTCCTTGTCACAGTACTCCTATCTTTTCTCTTAGTACACCTAGGGGTGTCAACGAGTCGAACCGAGCAGAGCCCGAGCCGGGAAAAAAAAGCTCGAATCGAGCTCGGCTAAAAAATTAAGCTCAGCCCGAGCTTTCGGCTCGAGCCTTCTCGAGCCGGCTCGTCATTTTTTTCTCTTTCTTTAATCTACATTTTTTTTAAAAAAATTGTACATTTTATGCGTGTTATAAATTAAAGAAATTGTAAAAGTTAAAACTCTCCTCCTTTATCCGGGTTTGGGACCGGCTACAATTATTATATGCGGAGTTAAAATTGTACACGAATGAAATATTTCGCGTACAATTTTTCTTAAAAAAAGATTAAAAATTACGTATTTTTTTGAAACTAAACAATTTAAAAACTTACAATATCTTATATTTTAACCTTTAATCTGCTGTAATTCTTAAACCATTATACTATCAACTTGTTCTTGAAGACATAATTCCACAATTCCCAGCCCTTCAAACATATTAAA